ACACACACACACACACACACACACACACACACACACACACACACACACACACTTATAACTACCCCTTTTTCCCAAAATATACAAACGATAATACCCCGTCTCACTACCTATAAAACACTCAGCGTATTTACCCCGGGGTAATAAAGATTGGAGTGAGAGTGCAACTCTTATCATAGGCACACTTTACTGTGAATGCCTTAACAAGGCAGTAGTATTATTAGTCGGGGAGGAAGAAGAAGGAAAAATTAATTTGGGGCCAAAAATTATCTTCATTTTTCTAATTTTAATCTGAGTTACGAGATCCTGTGAACATGTGAAGAAACGCTGGTTGGTAAATCTTTTGAGAAGTGTGCAGGGCGGATCATAAATAGGCAGGTAGGTAGGTAGGCAGGTAGATAGGTAGGTAGGTAGGTAGGTAGGTAGGTAGGTAGGTAGGTATGTAAGTAGGTAGGCAGGCAGGTAGGCAGGTAGATAGGTGTAGGTAGGTAGGTAGGTAGGTAGGTAGGTAGGTAGGTAGGTAGGTAGGTAGGTAAGTAGGTAGGTAGGAGGGAGGCAAAGGGAGGTAGGCAGGTAGGGAGGTAAGCAGGTAGGTAGGCAGGCAGGTAGGCAGGCAGGTAGGCAGGTAGGTAGGAAGGTAGGTAAGAAGGTAGGCAGGCAGGAAAAGACCTAGCAAGGAGGCCAAAAAAGGGCAGGCTTCCAAGGGAGGCAGAGATGCAATCAAATAAACAGTCAGTCAGTCAGTCAGTCAGTCAGTCAGTGAGGCAGTCAGTGAGGCAGTCAGTCAGTCAGTCAGTCAGTCAGTCAGGCAGGCAGGCAGACAGGAAAACAAGAAAGCAGAGAGACAAGCCCATTGCGTAGAAAATCATCGCGATGATACTGGCTTACGTGATGTTCTTGAAAAATCGGCTTTTCTAACTCCTTCATTTTTATTCTCGTTCCCAATGTACCATTCAAAATATAGTCATTAAAATGTTTTAGATGCGTACTTAAGGGAAGGTAAGGGAAAAAAATACCGGGTTACGAGGCTGTGAGTTTTAGATACGTACTTAAGGGAAGGTAAGGGAAAAAAATACCGGGTTACGAGGCTGTGAGTTTTAGATACGTACTTAAGGGAAGGTAAGGGAAAAAAATACCGGGTTACGAGGCTGTGAGTTTTAGATACGTACTTAAGGGAAGGTAAGGGAAAAAAAATACCGGGTTACGAGGCTGTGAGTTTTAGATACGTACTTAAGGGAAGGTAAGGGAAAAAAATACCGGGTTCCGAGGCTGTGAGTTTTAGATGCGTACTTAAGGGAAGGTAAGGGAAAAAAAATACCGGGTTACAAGGCTGTGAGTTTCTAGATAGTACTAGAAACTGTATGGCAACTAGTTTACTTATATTTTGGCGCTGATGATGGGTTATGTGACTCCGAAACGTGCGAAAACAAACACACGCACACATACGCACATACACACACGCACATACATACATATACACACAAAAACGAACATATACATAAGCGGTATTCGAAGTATCAGGAGCTATAGCTCAACCCCTGCAAACACAAATAGGTGAGTATGTGAGTACACACACACACACACACACACACACACACACACACACACACACAACACACACACACACACACACACACACACACACACACACACACACACACACACACACACACACACACACACACACACACTCACCTTTCATAACTGTTCGAAGGAACCGATCTGGAAGATTTCTTTACAAATATTTCTACACTTGCAGAGTCTTGCTGCTGACGCTGTAAATCTCATTAAAGTTTGTTTGTCTTGGTGTGTAAATCATCTCCACACAAAATTAAATTAACGAAAACCACGTATGTTTTAACAGTTTTCCTTAATTCACACACACACACACACTCAAATATGTGTGTGTGTGTGTGTGTGTTGTGTGTGTGTGTGTGTGTGTGTGTGTGTGTGTGTGTGTGTGGTTTCGGAGGATAGCTTTTAACGTGCAAGGATCAGTTTGTGTGCAGAGTGTTGCGTGCGCTAATGTGCGTGTGAGTTGGAAATAAATGGTATCAAATACCGACACAGTGGAAATATAAACACAAATGCAGTGTAATGTGATCCTTTATTGACAACGTTTCACCCACACAGTGGGCTTTTTCAAGTCACACACGGATCTACCTGGGGTTGGAAGGTACGAGAGTATTTATAGGCATGTTTAGAATGTTGAGGTCAGGTGGAGAATGCTGCATCTGATGATCTACCGGGTGGAGTTATAGAGTCTTGGGTAGCTTGGCAGGGGTATTGGACAAGTTGTGAGTAGACCTTCTGCAGTAGTTCTTATGTTCTTATGCCTGTGTACAACATCGCAATTCACACAACCATTTAATTAACTACAGAAACTCAAGACTTATAGCCACAGAAGACAACACTCAATACAGAAGAATCCTGGAATCATCGTTTATCTCTATAACCAACAATTTCAACCAGAACAATGGCTTCTATAACATAGCTGAACCACTCGCCAAGAAACTTCTTCATCGCTATCCCACATAAGAACATAGAACACTGCAGAAGGTCTACTCACAACTTGTCCAA